GGTTTTTATCACAACCCATGAATCTGCTAGAAGAGCGAGTCACGGTTCAGCCGGTCCAATCAGGTTGTTCGGTATGTTTTCAAACATTGAATAAATGATATGAAAATAAAATAAAAACTTTAAAATAATATAAAATATTATGAAATTAATTTATTTAGATCAATAACAAATCCAACCGACCGGTTCAGTTTTCAAAACACATGAAAAACAAATGTTTTAAGAACTGGGCCGTACATTGACTTGGCATTTTAATTAGGTTAATGGTCGGACTGGTCCAACCAAATTTTAAATAGTAATCTAATTTTAAATTAACTATATATACATATATGTGTGTATAACTATCAAATAATTTTATATCAGTATTAGAATCTAAAATGATATGAAAATCAAACGAAACTTAAAAAATAACATAAAAATACAATGAAAATGAAATTTTAAAACTTTGATATTTTTTACTTTTACCTTAGGTTTGAAAAATTGTGTTTTAATATCGAACTAAATCATCAGTTTTAATGAGTTGACCGGTTTTTAACCTTATTTACTGGTTTAACTCAAATTTTATTTTTTAGTACGAACAATAATCGGTTAGAAGAGTGAGTTACGGTCCGACCAGTCTAATCTGGTTTTTAAAACATTGGAAATACTTATAAACAAGTATCAACCCAAAAGTTTCATACTAAACTAGGATAATTACTAACAAATTGTTATAGTTTAACAAATTGCAAACAATCCGCGCGTAGCGCGGACATACCACTAGTGTGTATGTAAAGTTAGCATATCATTGTGGTTTCTTAAAGAGTGATTTAGTGAACTACCCATATTTGAAGCTCAAATTAGCAAAATACCATTGATTGGACATGAAAGACACTGACACAACCATTTGGCAAGGAAATGCCGAGAATGCCCTTTCTCTTTCCTCTCATTAACACGAAGCGTAAAAACATTTGTTAACATATAACACTTTTGTTAACGTCTACAATATTTGTTAACAGCCAACACATTTATTAACGCGGC